ATAGAACCTTTTTGAGACTTCTAATGCCATTATCCTTCTGCCCTTTGCCCAATTAGTACTCCTCCTCAAAAAAAAAATATATTTTAAATGAATAGGGTTAGTTGCTGCATGAATACGGGTATCAGGCAAGATGTGCATTGTAATGTGAGATATGTATGTTATGTATCTATAGGGATTGTATGTAATGACTAGTAAATTCCGTGCTCTGCCTTAGATATAAGCTTTATCTAGTATGTGTGTCTCTCTTTTGATATATTTGTACATTTAAACACTGATCAAGTGTCCTATCTATGTAGATATGCAAGTACTATTTTCATTAATAAATATAATGCAATATACAGAGATCATTAGAAGATTTTTTTTATCATATTTCAAACTGCTGTATTGAGTATGGTCAAAAAATCTATATGCTGACTCCTACTATTCTGTGTTAAAGCAACTACACTTGAAGCAGCTGTCATGGCTGAATCCCGTTTTTTTTTAACTCCCCTCCCGACTTCACTACATCTAATTGTCCCCCTAGTCGCCTCTAAGCCCCCCATATTACCTATTTTTGCATATTTATTTTGTGCCTGGACCTAGGTCCTGGGTGCCGTCATCTTTGTGTGGATAGAGGAAGTCCCTGTGGGACACGTTGTGAAGAAATTACAGAGTTATTTTGTTTATTTTACTTTTTTTCCATTTGGTAGCTGTAACTACCGAACACCGACCACCCCCCTGGCTCATTATCTTCAAGAGAACAGTCGATTAAGTGCTCTCCCTGTGTGGCTGCCGTTTGTATAGTCGAACGCGACATGCAGGAAAAAACGGCCATCTTGTTCGCATGAAAGGAGGCAGCGGGACTTGGTCGTTGAGTGTTTGGAACTAAAATCGGACACTTGAATTCCCGAACACCGGTCAAACTGTACGAACACCTGCTACCTTTTACCAAACAGCCAGGATAGCGCTGTTCGGTAGTTTGGTTCCCACGAACCAGGGGAACAATCGCTACTATGAGCCAGGGGGTGCAGTTCGTGCATTTGTTCAGTTTTAAGACTTGTCAAAATAGACAAGTCGCACAGCCTAAACTCATGGAACTGTTTCTGGGCAGGAGCCTCATGTGTGATCGGTTAAAATTGGACTTCCATAAAATTCCAAAACCCCTGAACTGATCTGAGTGACTTTTGGATATGTTGGTCACCCAGATCAAGGCTATCAGGGGATATGACATTTATGGGGATTTTGTGTGTTTTTGAAGTTTTGTCCAAATTAATTTTTTTGCTGCTTGGAGATAATTAAGTTATTACAGTATCTGACTCCGTTATCTCCAGGCAGAGAGAAGGGAATTATCTGCTTGTATTGGGAGTGTCACATTTTGCCACTGTATTGTTATTGGCTGTATGCTTTGTGTCCCTCCACAAGGTCCATGTGGGAGTGCCCCTTGCTCCCTCGCGCGCCCGCCTGCCCGACCGGCCACCCGCCCAGGAGCCCAGCAGCACCACTGGACCCCAGGGAATCCCCCCAGCACTCCTAAAGGTAAGGAGGCTCGGGGGATTAAATTTAAAAAAAAAAACATGTGTTAGTGTTTGAGTGTGTGTGAGTGTTAGAGTGAGTGTTAGAGTGAGTGTTAGAGTGAGTGTTAGTGTGAGTGTTAGTGTGTGTCTGCTAGTGAGTGTTAGAGTGAGTTAGTGTGAGTGTTAGAGTGAGTGTTAGAGTGAGTGTTAGAGTGAGTGTTAGTGTGTGTGTTAGTGTGTGTGTCTGCTAGTGAGTGTTAGTGTGAGTGTTAGTGTTAGAGTGAGTGTTAGTGTGTGTGTGTTAGTGTGAGTGTTAGTGTGAGTGTTAGTGTGAGTGTTTGAGTGAGTGTTAGAGTGAGTGTTAGAGTGAGTGTTAGTGTGTGTGTCTGCTAGTGAGTGTTAGTGTGAGTGTCTGCTAGTGAGTGTCAGTGAGTGTGTTACTGTGTGTGTCTTACTGAGTGTGTGTGTGTTAGTGAGTCTGTTTGATGTCTGTTAGTGAGTGTGTGTTTGTCAATGAGAGTGTATGTTTTGTAAGTGAGTGTGTATGTATGTCTGTCGCTGACTGTGTCTCTGTCAGTAAATGTGTGTCTGTTAGCTAGTGTGTATGCGTCTGTAAGTGTGTGTGTGTGTGTGTGTTCTCAGCACTTACCTTTCTCCAGCGCCGGACTCCCTTGGCGCTGAGGATCCCTCAGCCTCTCAGCTCCGAATGCGACTGCGCACGCATTCAAACCGCCCATAGGAAAGCATTACTCAATGCTTTCCTATGGACGTTCAGTGTGCTCCTCTAGCGGCTGTCCGTGAGACAGCCACTAGAGGCTGGATTAACCCTCAGTGAAACATAGCAGTTTCTCTGAAACTGCTATGTTTTCAGCTGCAGGGTTAAAACTAGAGGGACCTGACACCCAGACAACTTCATTGAGCTGATGTGATCTGGGTGTCTGTAGTAGTCCTTTAAAGGACCACTATAGTGCCAGGAAAACATACTTGTTTTCCTGGCACTATAGTGCCCTGAGGGTGCCCCCACCCTCAGGGACCCCCTCCCGCCCGGCTCTGGAAAGGGGAAAAGGGGTAAAACTTATATTTTTCCAGCGCTGGGCTGAGAGCTCTCCTCCTCCGATCCTCCTCTTCCCTCCCCGTCGGCTGTATGCGCACACGCGGCAAGAGCTGCGCGCGCATTCAGCCGGTCACATAGGAAAGCATTCATAATGCTTTCCTATGGACGCTGGCGTGCTCTCACTGTGAAAATCACAGTGAGAAGCACGCAAGCGCCTATAGCAGCTGTCAATGAGACAGCCGCTAGAGGAAATAGGGGAAGGCTTAACCCATTCATAAACATAGCAGTTTCTCTGAAACTGCTATGTTTATGACAAAATGGGTTAAGCCTAGCTGGTCCTGGCACCCAGACCACTTCATTAAGCCGAAGTGGTCTGGGTGCCTAGAGTGGTCCTTTAAGTGTGTGTGCATCTGCATGCACTGGCGTACATACCGCGGTCGCAGGGGTCGCAGCCCTGTAACCCCTGCGACCGGGTGCCCACCGCCATGTGTTGCGGCCCGGCCCGCGCGCGGGGGGGGGCCCACGGATCAATTTTCACACCGGGGCCCCATGGGTCATGTGTACGCACTTATTATAATTTAGACTATAGGTCCCCTCATTGTCATTTAGGGCCCTGACCCACCGCTCATGGCATGGGTGGGGGCTCGGGAAATTCCAATCCGAACAGAGTCCCGAATTGGGTCCTAACATGAATGAACAAACTTTTCTCATTCTGTTAGGATGAAATTCGGTAGTTTTGCCATCGTTCAGCCTAAGTGACATGACGTTCGGAAATACTGACAGGAAGCATCGTGAGATCACGTAACAAAGGTAAGAATTGTGGGGAAATTCCTTTGACCACAGGAAACGGAGCACACTTTGTTCCTCCGCTGGTCAAAGCTGGTCAAGCGTAGGAATCCTCCATAAGTCAAAGTAGTAACTACTTTGTCTTTTGTTTTAAAGAAAACTAGAGCAGACAGGAAGAAATGAAGAACAGATCCCGACAGAGGGAGAGAAGAGGAATTGATTAAAGAAAGGTAAGTTCAGCATGACAGTGGTAATGCAAATAAATGGAGACAGTTATACAGGGTGACATATATTTTAGGGTAACCAACCAGGGACTTCTCATAGACTTTCATTACCAATGTTGTGATGTAGTTTGGAATTTGCATGCGCCAAGCTTTTTTGCTTCTAGAGGTTGTGCTTTTATTGGACATTTTTTTACCCAGCGTGTATTTGTTTATTATTTTCTTTTTTAATTTAAATATTTTTTATTTTGTAGTATATGTGAATACAAAGTAACATTGGTAACAAAATACATTTAAGGTATTGTCAACACAATTGGAGTACATAAGTTGTTGTTGTGGTTTTGTATAACAAATCATCATAGATACATTGGTGGTTACAATAGTACAGTTAGGATGCGTTTGTTGAACAACACTTGAATAATAAACAGCTCTAGATATTGAATCAGATAGAGTAATATAGAGTAACTCAGGGACAATTATTCTCACGACATGTCTAAGATAGAGTCACAAATATTTGTTAGATTATCGTGATTGAACCCTTATTTGAGTGTTAGAGGCATTATATAATAGGTATTCGAGAATAGATAATAGATAGATAGATAGATATTAGCCCATTTGTTGGATCAGATGGGCTAATTAGCCTGTGTAGGAAATGATCCTAGGGAATTGTCGTTATTTTGGATTGACCCTTTGTCTAGGTTTGGTGTTTTATTAGAACGTACTTTGGTGCGTGAGTGTTTAGGATTAAGGAATGAAATCCATGGTTCCCAGATTCTAGAGTATGTTTGGAAGCTTTTGGATTTTGCGTGTGTGATTTCTTCCATCTGTCTGGTGTCTTCTACTCTCTCTATCCATTCTCTAATAGAGGGTATTTGTGGTGGTTTCCAATATTTTGGAATCAGTTGTGAGGCTCCCATAGTGAGAAAATTTGCTCTCTGTTCTACGGAGACCTTGAGGTGGAAGTAAAAAGATGAAATGTGGGGAATGAAAGGAATTTAACTTCCTGAGATAGTTTGGATGAGAGTATGTATTCTTTTCCAGAATTTTGTTATAGTGGGGCATTGCCACCATATGTGGGAGTGATTGGCTGACATTTGTTGACATCGCCAAGTATTTGTTTATTTTATACGGTTCTAATCTGAGGGTGTTCCCAGTGCTTCGTCTTGCATTGATTATTAAACTTGTCCACAAATATGTTTGGACTGGTTTGTAAAAATGTCTTTTCATCCATATCAGGACAACTCAGTCCATCTTGGATGTGCTTGTGCAATACTATTCAACGAATAAGACTCCACAGGTAAATCATGGATGGATCAACTCATCTGGGATGGGTTAAAAGGCATTTGATTCAGACAAACTAGTCCACATTAATTTGTGTTGATTGTGGTATAACACAAATGTGTATATATAGTGGAACTTATTAATTATTTTGGTTAATTGATTAACAATAAGCAGCTATGGCACTCTGTGGAAACTCCCCAAAACATTATTTGTAAGTTACATTATTTGTAAGCGCTGCACTCGCACTTTGATGTTTTTGGGTGGTGGTTTATCACCGAAGCCTTGCGGTATCTGTTTTAATGTAATTTATGTTGATGTCTAGTGATTATTACTTATGTATCACTGTATCTTGTTATTTTTTATCTATTTGCTTATTCTTTATGATAACTTTGACTTGATTATAATTACTTTGTGTGTTTAAAGCTCATTTGTAATGCTGCATAGCAAATTACATTCATGTTTACTTAGTTTTTTTTTTTAAAGTTTATACTAAACAACTTACAATAAATGGTAAATACGTAAAATGTAAGTGTGTATCCCAAACTCGCTGTACTGTTTGGTACATTAGCGGGCCAGTTAACTGATCTTTGGAAAAAGTGTTTGGCGTTTACATGTTGTAGTTTTATAAAGTAACAGAAAACAATTTGTGTTTTTCAGTTATTGCACAACCTCTATGATAACCCGCTCTTTAAACTCAGGATACTGCACCATATGCGCTTTGTTCCATCCTGTCACCTTCTCTATTTTGTATCCTTGAACTAGAAAGGTTTTTTAAAGAATCCGTCCTCAAAGAACACAGAGGCTGCAGAGATTCTCGGAATAAAAGCAGATCAGTCGTGGTTAACGCAGAAAAAAAAATAAGACCTTACATAGACCTTTAATGAGTGGAAAAAAAAGGAAAAATATTTTCAAGTCTTTAAAGTTACTGTCTATGAAAACAGAAAATGCAAAGTTCTAACTCTGTATTTGAATTTCAAGAAGAGTACAGCTCTTTTTAAAATCTAATGCCTGTCTGCTTGTTTGTTCACCTTCACTCCTCTCTCTCTCCATCCTCACTCTCTCTCTCTCTCTCCATCCTTATAGTCTCTCTCTCTCTCTCTCTCTCTCGTTCCATCCTCACTCTCTCTCTCTCCATCCTTACAGTCTCTCTCTCTCGTTCCATCCTCACAGTCTCTCTCTCTCCATCCTCACAGTCTCTCTCTCTCCATCCTCACACTCTCTCTCTCCATCCTCACAGTCTCTCTCTCTCCATCCTCACAGTCTCTCTCTCTCCATCCTCACACACTCTCTCTCTCCATTCTCACAGTCTCTCTCTCTCTCTCTCTCTCTCTCTCCATTCTCACAGTCTCTCTTCTCTCTCCATCCTCATACTGTCTATGAAAACAAAAAATGCAAAGTTTCAGCTCTGTATTTGAATTTCAAGAAGAGTACAGCTCTTTTTAAAATCTAATGCCTGTCTGCTTGCTTGTTCGCCTTTACTCCTCTCTCTCTCCATCCTCACTCACTCTCTCTCTCCATCCTTACAGTCTCTCTCTCTCTCTCTCTCTCGTTCCATCCTCACACTCTCTCTGTCTCTCCATCCTCACAGTTTCTCTCTCCATCCTCACACTCTTTCTCTCTCTCTCTCTCTCGCTCTCTCGTTCCATCCTCACACTCTCTCTGTCTCTCCATCCTCACAGTTTCTCTCTCTCCATCCTCACACTCTTACTCTCTCTCTCTCTCTCTCCATCCTCACACTCTCTCTCTCCATCCTCACACTCTCTCTCTCTATCCTCACAGTCTCTCTCTCTCCACCCTCACACTCTCTACATTCTCACAGTCTCTCTCTCTCTCCATTCTCACAGTCTCTCTCTCTCCATTCTCACAGTCTCTCTCCCTCTCTCCATCCTCACAGTCTCTCTCTCCATCCTCACAGTCTCTCTCTCTCTCTCTCTCTCTCTCTCTCTCTTCTTCCTCACACTCTCTCTCTCCATCATTCTCACACACTCTCTCTCCATCATTCTCACACGCTCACACTCTCTCTCCATCATTCTCACTCACACACTCACTCTCGCCATCCTTCACACACTCTCTCTCGCCATCCTTCACACACTCTCTCTCTCTCTCTTTCCTTCTCACACTCTCTCTAGCTCTGTCCTTCACACATTCTCCTATCTCTCTCTCTCTCTCCCTCCTCACACACTTTCTCTCTCCCTCCATCCAACTCACACTCTCTCTCTCCATCCCTCATACACTCTCCTTTCTCTCTCTCTCTGTCCTTCTCACACACTCTCTCTCTTTTTTTTCCTTCTCACACTCTCTCCCCATCCTTTTCACACTTTCTCTCTCTCCATCATTCTCTCACTCTCCCCTGTCTCTCTCCATTCTTCATACACACTCTCTTTCTCTGTCCTACACTTTATTCTTCTCACACTCTCTCTCTCTGCCCTTCTCACACTACCTCTTTCTCTCCATCCTTCTCACACTCTCCTTTCTCTCTCTCCATCCTTCTCACACTCTCCTTTCTCTCTCTCCATCCTTCTCACTCAGTCTCTCTTTCTCTGTCCTTCTCACA